GCCCTCCCTCTGCCTGCCCCTGGAGTCCCACCTTCTCAGGCACAGCCTCGCCCCACTCTGGACCCCACTGCCAGGTCTGCCTCTCCGTGGCATGCATGGCTGACACACCTCTCCTTGGGTGCCATAGTTTCCCTGACTCACCTGTCAGCAAAGTTGCTGGCCCTCAGGCCTGACAAACAGGCCACTACCTCCCACAGTAGAGGAGTTAGTGACTTGGCATCCAGGGCTCCCCATGGCTACAGCCTGGGTTGGGGTCAGAAGACACCGGCTATGGGACCTGGCCCTGGACTGGATGGGTTCTGCTCCCCTCTCCCCAGGGTGCACGAGCTGGAGGAGATGGTGAAGGATCAGGAGACAACGGCCGAGCAGGCCCTGGAGGAGGAGGCACGGCGACACCGCGAGGCCTACAGCAAGCTGGAGAGGGAGAAGAGCACCGAGATCGAGCTGTTGCACACCAGGTGGGCCCCGTACGGTCGCCCGCCCTGGGGGACTGCGCCTTCCCACAGAGCCTTCTGCCTTCTGCCACTCTCTCATACTTCTGGGACAGACTGTGGGGCAGGCGCTGCTGTCCCCATTTTATAGATGGGAGAACTGAGCCAGAGGGAAAGCCTTGTGTCCTAATAATTCTACTTTTGATACCTGAACATGTGGACATGTTCTCTAGCAGGTGTGTAAAAGAATGTTCACATCAGGTAAAACTGGAAACTATATCATGTTTATCAACCAGAGAATGGATAAAAACCCCAAAACCAACAGTGTTGCCCTGATTCCTGGGCTGGGACTAATGCCCAGGCTTGGAGCTCCCCCTGCTGTCAGATCCCTCATTCACCCTGGGCCCCATGGGCCAAGGGAAGTGGAAATGTTGGGCCATTGTAAGGGCCCCTGGGCCTCTGGTATAGGCATTAGAACCCGAGGCAGGCAGGGAGAGGAGTATTGACCTGGGATTCTGGGTTGGTCACCCATCAGTTCCATGAGCTTGGAACATACTGTGTCACTTCCCTGAGCCTCAGTTTCCCCAGCTGTCATCCCTCCCTGCCTGCCCCACAGAGTGCCTGTGAGCCTGTGCACATCAGAACACTGCTAACTGAGGGCTATGATGATGCTCCAGGGCTGCCTTCACCACTGACCCAGGCCAGGGAGGCCACCTGGGCCCCTGGCAGAGAGGACAGCTACCCCCGCACCCCTCAGTCCCCCTCAGGCCTCAGCGCCTGAGCTGAGCCTTCTCAGTGTCTGCTAGGCCCCTGGGGTGGAAGGTGGGTTGGGAGGTAGGCTCTCACCTTGCACTCGTGGCCAGCAGCAGGTGCTTCCCTGCCTGCGGAGGTCAGGCAGGACCAAAAGGAACTTGTGCACTTGGGGTCCCTCTACACTTTGGCAAGGAGACCTCCTGACTCCCCTGTGCCTGAGACCGGTTTATTAACTTTATCGACCTGGGGTTCATCTAAGTTTTCACTCATGTTCTAGAAGCTGTTGTTTGCATGTTTCTGGAGGCTGATCCCTTGTTAAGCGTCACTGTTCTGTCTGCTTCTGACAGCTGGCCAGGTGGGCTGGCCTGAGAGGTGTCTGGGAGCAGGTGGTGGAAGAAGACAGTGAGTGTGGGCTAAAGGCCAAAGCGCAGAAAGACGACCCTCTTGGGAACTGTCTCCTAACCCATGCCCCTTGCACAACTCCAGGGGGTGCTGTTCACATAGAATATGCAGACCGTGCTCCCAGAGTCATTCGGTGTGCTTTGTTCCTCACATCCACCATCTCAAGTTCCCCATGAGGTGGCCTCAACAGAGTGCATGTCTGAATTCCTGTCTAGCCTGGCCTGGGAGCCTCTCCTGGGGACCCTGGAGGGACATGGAGGCCAGGAGGCAATTTCTGCAGGAACAAGGAGGTGACAGTGGGAAGGAGAAGGAAGGCTCTGCCAGAATCCGTGTCAGAAATGACCCTGCACAGTTCTGGTGCCACTGACATCCCAACTCACCTGCTCCTGTTCTTCGGACATTTAAAACCTACCTGGTCACCCGGGCTGTCTTTTCATGGGGTCATAGTAGGACAGTCCCTGGTGAATGCTAACGTAGAGGATTATGACTATTGGAGCCAATCCCTGTGGGTGTCAGAGGCAGCTGTAGTGAGCTCTCAGAGGGAAGAGCCCTGGGTGAGCCCTGGGGGGAGAAAGGAAAACATACGGCCAGTGCCTTCAAATTGCAGATCCCAACAGCAGGGCCCTGTCACGGCCGCCACTGGATGACTTCTCTCCCTTGGGAGAAAACATGCCCCCTCCTTTGTTTCAGGCCTAAGGATGCCTGTAAAGAGAATCTTATGTTCTTACAAACGGAGTGTCTCCTTTTATCAAGAAAAATAAGAATAATTCGGTGTCCTTACCATTCTGCCGTGGATGGGAAGCTCAAGGCTGTCATCATCTGGAATAATTATTTTTATTCTCTCTCTCACTTTCTGGTATCTTTCCTCCTCCAGGGAGCGGAGGATCGCTGCAGATTGTCAAACCGTCAGGTGACCTCCATTTCTGACATTTTTGTCCCCCTTTCCCCAGGGTGCAGCAACTAGAGGAAGAAAATACAGAGCTTAGAACAACAGTGACTCGGCTCAAATCGCAGACAGAGAAACTGGATGAGGTGAGCAGCCGGCCCGGGCCTCTCTCAGGCTCGGGTCTGAGACAGATCCACAGAGCGGCAGTGTTGGCCATCAGAGGTTTTTAGTTTCTAGTTTCTGAAATTCTAATAAAATTGCCCTAGGAAAAAAGGCAATAAAATATAAATAATAATTCGTCTTTCTATATTTCTGATTTTCCAAATTTTCTACAGTGAATATATTTCCTTATAGAATAGGGGAAAATAATGAAAAAGTTAGCTTCTAGACGTTCGGGCTGCCACCTTCTAGCCAAGGTTCATCTGGCATCAATGAAGGACTTCAGAGGCCGGAGGTTTTCCCAGCCTTGTTTCTAGAATCCTAGGGGATCCGGACGTTTCTCTAAGCTGTGACTCGGAAGGCTCCGCCTGGGGGGCTGGCCTGGCCGCCCAGTGGGCCCCTCCGGGAACTTCCCACCGACCTGGTCTCCCTGGCCCCAGGAGCGGCAGCGCATGTCCGACCGGCTGGAGGACACCAGCCTGCGGCTTAAGGATGAGACGGACCTGTACAAGCGCGTGATGGACAAGCTGCGGCAGAACCGCCTTGAGTTCCAGAAGGAGCGGGAGGCGACGCAGGAGGTGGGTCCCAGGCCAGAGGGCTCCGGGGTTCCCCCCCAGGCCCCTGCTCCCGCCAACTGGCCTCTCCCCCGCGCAGCTCATCGAGGACCTGCGGAAGGAGCTGGAGCACCTGCAGATGTACAAGCTGGACTGCGAGCGGCCGGGCAGGGGCCGCAGCTCGTCCTCCGGCCTGGGCGAGTTCAACGCCAGGGCCCGCGAGGTGGAGCTGGAGCACGAGATCAAGCGGCTTAAGCAGGTGGGATCCAGTGTCCAAGGCCCCACGGGTGGGTTTCCTGTGAGGGGACCGAGAGCTGTAGCACCACCCTTCCACACACGCTGTCTGCTCCGCTCAACAACCTGGCTGTCAGGGCTGCTCGCCCTCTTCTCACAGCTCAGGCAAGGTGGCTTATGTCTAGGCTATGGCTGATGGAAATTTCTGGGTCTTTCCTTGGCATCCATAGAAAGAAATAGACACCACTCTTCTGTCCTGGGCATGTGGGGTGGAGAATGAGACTCTCCCCAGCTGAAAATTAGTGCCTCCCTGTGTGGGGTCTCCTAGCAGACCCCTAGCCCAACGTTCCATTTCATATGGTTTCTGGGAACACTCCTATAATTGAGACCAATGAGGAGTGGGGGACATGGTATCATGAGGGGCAGTGACCTAGCTTATCCTGGCCCTGGGGACAGGAGAGCGATATATAAATTACACCCCTGAGTTGGCTCCACCAAGGCAGCGATGCTGGTGTTCACTCTCCCACAGCAATCCTAAAACCCACTCTTCTTCTCATCCACAAGGGGGCGCCCAAGGTACCAGGTGTGAGCTGTTAGGAGCCTTTAGGCAAAAGCTAGAGCATGGGGCAGGTGAACAGAGTCGGCAGGGCACTGTGGGCGGCGTGCTGGGGAGTGAGGACGCACCTGGAAAGAGCTCCCATGAGCAGGATTCCTGACCCAGCTGCAGGAGGAGCCAAGGAGATGAGCCACCCTGCCAGCCCAGAGACCCTAGAACATCGCTTTTCCTCACCAAGGGCCAGTGTTGGAGGAGCCAGCGGGTGGGCAGTGTCCCCACACAAGGCCTCAGGGGCTCCATTCTGGTTCACCCACCCCCAGGGAGGAAGGGGTGGCCAGAAACAATGCTCCTGCCTGGAGACTTGGCTCCACTGAGCAGGGCTGTGACTTCTAAGAACCCCATGACCCCCAGGACCCAGTCCCCGTCCCCCAACCTGGCAGAGGCCACATCATCTATTAGTGTCCTGACATGACGCACGCCTGACGAGAGGGCACTGATGGGAGCCAGGAGATAGTGGATGCAGACAAGTGGGTTTTGGTGGGTTCTGGATGCTTCCAGGAGCTGATATGGCCTGTGTCCCACTCACAGGAGAATCATAAGCTGCGGGATCAAAACGATGACTTGAATGGACAGATCTTGAGCCTCAGCCTCTACGAAGCAAAGAACCTCTTTGCCACCCAGACCAAAGCCCAGTCTCTGGCTGCGGAAATAGACACAGCCTCGCGTGATGAGGTAACATGCCCATTGGCTCTTGCTCTCACTTTGGGGCCTGGTCCTCCTCTGAGTCCTGCCCCATCCCCACCTGCCACGATGTCAAGCCCCAGGCTGCCCAGAGCAGGAAAAGCAGACCATGGCCTGGCCCCCAAGAGTCCCTGCCTGCAACTACCCTAAGCGACAGGGTGGAGCTGTAGGAAGTTAAGTCAGCTCTGATTTCCTGCATGTGGTGGGAGGAGCTCCGGTTTGGGACCTGGGTGGAATTTGAGTCTTAGCCAGAAGTGTGCCAAAATGGCCAGTTGATTTCATTAATGTGTAGCCCAGGGGAGTCTGTAACTCCCCTCCTTTAAGCCAGGAGGGGGGGACATAGCATTTCTTGAGTACCTGCTGGCAGTGTGTCTTCACTTAACCTTCAGGGGCTGTCTGAACAGATTGGGGCCCAGGACACACAATCACCAAGCCTGTAGCGGGAGAGGGACCCAGGCTTCTAGCACCAGAGCCTGCTCTCTGCCCCACTGGGGCATGGTTATAAAAGTTCATGTCTCCAAAATACTCCCATTACATTTTAACATGAATCTAAGACAGTCACTAAACCCCTTACCTTGTGTTTGGGACACAGAGTTTAGCTGACCCCTAACCTCTGGAGCACCCAGGTGAACCGGAGAGATGCAGCATTTCAGTGACATCCTAAAGAACTGTCAGGAGTTGACCTGGAGAGGGGCAGTGGCAGGGCCAGGGGTGGCAAGGGGGCCATTCCAGGCAGAGGAGACAGCCTTACAAGTCTTAGGGCCATGAGACTTTGGATGTCTGTCTTGATTTTAAATGCCTGTGGCCAGTGTTGTCAACTGTTACCAAAAGCTTAACCCACACCTGGCTCCCTCCACATACCAGTTAAATCAGAATCTCTGGGTGTGGGGCCTGGGCATCTGCATAGTTCACACTCCTCGAGTGTGAGCCGAGCCAGGCTTTAGGCTCATGTCCTGACATCCGAGTGCTGCGGTTGGCATTGGGGCCACCTTACCTGGAGTCTCCTGAGCTCTGTCTTTGGGCACTGGCTCACTGTGAGCCCAGGCACCTGGCTCCAGCCAGGCCAGCCTCTGACCATCTCTCATTACCATCAGCTCATGGAAGCCCTCAAGGAGCAGGAGGAAATCAACTTCCGGCTACGGCAGTACATGGACAAGATCATCCTCGCCATCCTGGACCACAACCCCTCCATCCTTGAGATCAAACACTGAGACAAGGGAACTGGCTGCAGAACGGCCTTGGGACCCCATGACCCCAGGACGAAAGGGCAGACCCTGCCTGAGGATGCAACCCCGGCCAGGCCTCAGACACACACTGTAAATGTATCTCTGGCCACCATGTAATGTGTACTGGCGTGGATGTGGGGACACCGTGTGCACAGCAGGGGGTGAGCGTGGGGCCATGTGTGGGGTGAGCGCCGTTAGCTGTTCGTGCACTTTGTGGTCCCTTTGCAGGGGCAGGGGATCCTGGAGGTTGTGGGGGGCAAGGTCTGCAATCAGGAGTTACTGTAATAACAAGAACTGGAAGCTTGTGTTTCAAATACTGGATAAAGTGATTCTACCTCTGGGGATGAAGTTTAAGAAACACTCTAGGGAGACCGGCTCCCTCTCCCCACCCCGTTCCTTCTGGAAGCAGGAGCAAAATTGTGACCTTTTCCAGGAGTTCAAATGCCCAACAGCTGTGGCCACCCTTTGAAGTCCAGGTGCTCGAGCTCAGAGAGAAGGAAGGGGCATTTAGGGGGAACGTGAGGCGGGACCCCCACCAGTCCCCTCCCCGGCCGGCAGCCCCCAGGATGCTTTTGCGCCATGTGTCCAAAGGACTTGGGCTCGCCGCGGAGCCACCTTCACTCTGAGTTCTTGGCATTTTTGGAGTCCTCTGTGCACTTCCCCTTCCCTGCTTACCTACCTCTCCCTTCCTGTTTTTGCTTTGTTTTTAAGGCCATGAAAAATTAGCAGTATTCACTTGTCTGTAAAGTGAAGGGATTAAAAGGGAGGAAGAGGCTGAGGGACGGGGGCTGGTGGTGGTGGTGCTGAAGGTAAGTGTGGGCATCGGGCAACCAAAGACCTGGTTTTCAGGGAGGAGCAAGCTCACCTCTCCTCAGTTACCTTCTGCTGGGTGCACTTTAAAAGAGAAGCCAGGATGGGCCGTCCAGCCCTTCTGCGGGCTGGGAGTGCGCCTTGGTCACCACCCTGTTCGCACAGCCTGGTGACAGCAGGCCTCAGGTTTGGGTGTTCAGAGCCAGGGTCCTGGGCTTGCTCAGCTAGTAGGGAGACCCCTGCATTCCAGCTTTTAGAAACACACCTGCGTTCGGGCCTCAGCCAGTGGGAAACTAATGCTGTCCAGGTGGGAGACACATTTGGGGAAGTTTCAGGGAAGCCTTAGTCTTCCATCCCCGTGACACGTGTTGGAGTTCACACTCTGGGTTTTTAATGGGGTCTTTTGCTTTGGCAGCTGGGAATAGATATGGTACTTTCCTTTGAGTTTTTTCAGTGGTTCTCAATTTTGTGTGGCTGATTCATGCCCTTAATCCAAATATATATAAACACGTATGGTCTTTATTATTTTCCCCTGCAGTTTGCTTTCGTTAGCACTTCTAGTATAAAAGGGAAGGTTTGGGCACGTTGAGGAGGGAGCGGAGAGGAGTGTGCAGAGAAGACAGGAGTAGAGAGTGAAGAGGGCTCCTGGGGGCTTGGGTGTGTTCCCTGCTCACAAAGGCAGGGCTGTGGCCAAGACCGGCCTTCGTTCCAGTCCAGTCAGCTTTTGTTTTTGTTGGATTTTGTGATTTCTTCTTAAGCATATGTTCGGGATTTGTTTCATGCCGCAAATCATGGGGCTGCATTGGATTGATCCAGGAGTTCAGGGCCACCCACACCAGGAAGACCAGGGCAGGGGTCCGTCTTCTGGGAATTTCTCAACCCCTTAGGACACTGGTCTCCTTGGGCTCCCCTGAGGATGTGAGAAGTGGCAGTGGAAAGAAGGCATAAGGAGTGGGTCTCTTGAGAATTTGCTAATAGGAAGGAGTGGCGACAAATTGAAGGAAAGGAAAGAGGAATCATGGGTTTGGTGTGGGTTTTACATGGGAAAGAGTCCCGCAGAGAGGCCAGCCAGATCCTGACCTGGTCTGTTGGGGGCCCCGGGGATGTTGGATACTAAGAGGTTAGCAGATCCCTTGCCCCTAGGATGGGAGGCCGGATGCCCTCAGGAGCTGGTGAATCCAGCTGTTCTCACTAGCCTGGGGGTTAGCAAACTTGAGTGGGCGCGTCTGCCTGATGCTCACAGAGTCAGCAGGTGGCATGAGTTGGGATGTGGGAGTGGGATTAGAACAGAGTAGGGGAGGAAGCTGATGGGCGGCCTCAGAAACGGCAGTCACCTGCTCTTGCAGCTGAGCAGGAGGGAACACTGGCTCTGTGAGGTTTGCCTCTGGTCTGTTTTCACCTGGGCAGATGAGGGTTGCCCAGCTCCTCCCCTGTTAGTAGCCAAACCGACACCCGGCCCACAGCCAGGAGGCTCCAGGCGCTACTACACCGGCGAGTCTGAATCCTGGCCCAGCCGCGTCCTGGTAGTCAGGAGGGCACAGCGTGGGCCCTTCTGTTACAATGAGGGACTAAGTAACCGACAGAGGCCTCCAGGGACATGTGGGGGCTGTGGATCAGGGAGAAATTAGCCCTCTTCTTGTGCTCTGGGTAGAGGGTGTTTAATGCATTAGCAGATTTAAACCTAAAAGCTAATTTTAGATGTGATTGTAACAGTTTTTGGATGGTCACCATGCCAAGGAAATGACTGTGTTGTCCTGACAGATCTACAGTGACTCTTAGAAGGCTGAGTGGGTTTTAGATTGAGGAGAAGGGCCATTCAGTGCTGTCATCCTCCCAACCTTTCTTCCTCTGGGACTAGGACAGCCCCTCTAGGGCTGTGATTCAGGCTGGGGAGACTGAGGCATGCCTGCTGAGGAGCCTCAAGCTAGGGTGCCACGCCCTCCCCGGTCACTTTGAGCAAGCCCTTCCCTTCACTGACCCTGGGGACCTCCAGGTCCTGGCCTCCTGCTCTGTGTGTGTATGAAAAGGCAAAGAGCAGGAGAGGCGGGACCATGGGCCGGCCCACCTGCATGGCAGGGCAGCTCGGAGGCCCTTCTGCCACACTCTGCTCTCCACCTGGAAAAATAGGCTACTTTCTAGAAAGGTGTGTTTCTGAAAGCGTAAACCCTGGCGAAGCATGATGCCACATGACTTTGATGCTCCGACCCTGTGCTGTTATTACCATTGCAACTGTAACGGAGGGATGTCTGCTCCGAGCCACCAGGACGGGCTGCCTGGGAATGGCATCCCAGGGCCACCCCTGCAGGATCCAAGTGTTGTCATCCCAGGAGCCCGAGCCTCCTGCTGGACCCTCTGCTCTGCTGTGCTGCACAGCTGTGTTTTGTGTGCATGGTTTGGGGTCATTGTCCGTGTGCCTTTTTCTTCCCCGTCTCCACTGTACAGGACTTTCCACGTTGCCACTGCCCCTTTTCTACACCCTCTCGTTTGCCCGGCCCTTCCCGAGCCCTGTAAATGTGTACATAGTGTTCCTCCCACTTTGTGTCCAGGTGCCTCCACCACGTAGGGCCTGCTCCCACCAGGCCTCCCCGCGCGCTCCCCACGAGGATCAGGCTCTGCTGCCCCTCCCCTCCCTCAGTCATGCAAACGCGGTCACTGTACAGAACTTTCCATTGTGGTCTTAAGCTTAGGGGGCTTGGGCCCACTTGGTCCCTCATCTAGCCTGCTGCTAGTTTAGACGCCGTGCCCACCAGGAAAGGGTGACTGTGTAAAGCAGCCTCCCACAAACCTCTCCCTGTGTTGGTGTCGATATTTATAGAAAGCAGAGTGTACCTCCCGCACCTGGGCTTCAGCCCCGCAGGGGTGTCCCGGGTCTGCCAGCTCCGTGGGCCCGTTGGAGATGCACCTCCAGCCCCAGAGGAAGCTCCGGCTGTGTGGCGCCCAGCACTTGGCGTCGGGCCTGGGTTCAAGCTGCTGCCATCTGGTGTCTAGAACAGCTTCGGACAGGTGGGCAGAAGGTGCGGAGGCTTCTTGCTGCCGCCTGTGTCTGCCGTTAACAACTGCCAAGCTCTTCCTCGCCTGCTGAAGGTGCTCACACCGGGTGCCATTAAATACCCGACAGACGCCGGGACCACCATCAGACCGTGCGCTGCTGCGGACTCGCTCGCAGCCCGCTGGCTCCCTTCATCCCGCTTCCTTGGCTGGGTCTCGGGGGAGCCCAAATGGAGTAAGCTGTGCTTGTGGCCTCAGGCCCCAGGGTTGGTTAGCTGGTTTTGACTCTCCGTGGAGTTCCACCTGAGCCTTTTGCCCCAGGAGCCTCCATCTGGAAGCAGGCTTAGCTTTCGGGCTCAGGTGAGACCTCTGCCTCCAGGCCCCAGGGTGGGAGGAGGCCCCAAGGCTGTGTCCCAGGGTCCCGAGCTCTCCACCTCCTGCCTGCTTCCAGCCAAAAAGGGGCAGGCTCTCAGGGGAGGGCTCCTTTGGGAACCACTGTACAGACTGAGGTGTAAATAAACAGTTTGCTTTTCTTGCCTGACTTGATGGTGAGTTTCTGTGGTGGGGGAGGGAGGGTGGAAGAGGTGAGGCCTGGTTTTGGGGCTCCTGGGATAGAGCAGGCCTCACCCTGTGTGCAGGGTGGCTGGTGCTGTCCTCTGGGGGCTGCGGGTCACCTGCAGACTCTGGTTTTAGCCTGCTGTCCTAGGAGATGCGGTGTGGACCCCAGGGCTCCTGTAACACCACCATTCCAACCCCGGGGCTGTGAGTTTGAAAAGTTTGTCCTCACTGCAGCCATGTTCCCTCTCCCAGCAGGGGCCTCCCAGGGGTCTCAGCTCACTCTGGTCATTCTAATGAGGTCCCAGGGCCATCTCCCTCCATGCCAACCACCGTGACTCCCCTGGGTCACAGGCCAAGTCCTCAGCTCAGCCTGGTTTCACAATGACCTGCCAAGCCCCAAAGTATCAAGGTGGCCCGAGGTTAAGTGACCCAGGCCCCCAGATTTCTACTCTTGCCTTACCCCTCCCCCTAGTTCTTACAGGGTTCCAGGTGTCAAAGGGGTTCATAGATCACCCAGGCCCAGCTTCTGGAGATGAATCTGCCCTCCTGCTGGCCAGACCTTTAGGACAGGCAGGACCAGAGTCCCGCACTTCTCCAGCAAGGCCTCGTGCCATGGGTCTGGCAGGGCAGCAGACGGCTCGCTGCTCATTGGACTTACATGGCCTGCTGGGCTCTAGGACAGTCGTCTCCCAACACTGGGGGTTGTGTGTTCTCCCAGACCTTACTCCCTCCATCCTAATGTGCCTTCTTTCCTTTCCAGCTAGGGTTGCCAGATTTTGCAAATAAAAATACAGGGGTCCCAATTAAATTTGAATCTCAGAAATAATTTTTTTAGTTTAAGTATGTCCCTTGCAGTACTAAAACATTGCTCACTATATATCTGAAATTCAGATTTAACTGGGCACTTTTTTTTTTCCAATCAGGCAACCCTGTTCCCAACCCTTTCTAGGGCCCCCCTACTACCAGTGAGGTGCCTCCAGTTCCTGGGTGCTTGCCTTGCACCCCAGCTTCAGAAACAGGTTCTTTCTTACTTGGACATTACTTTCTCTGAGATTGTCTGCCGTTACCACCCCAGCCATCCAGAAGCAACTGCTTGCATTTCCAAGAGCTGTAGCCCCCTGCAGCCTGCCTTGGGATGTGTGTAAGAAATATTGAGCCCCAAAAAGGATTTGACATGGAGGTGAACTCGGTATAGTCAAAGAAGTGGAGGGGGAGCACAGTGGTGTCCTGGGGACCAGGGTGGGGACAGGGGCATTGCTAAAGTACCCCAGTATTAACTTCTAATGAGCCATTAACCATTTTCTAAGCACTGACTGTTCACTGAAAGCTTCCTGGACTTGAAACCAGAGGCCTAGGTTTGGGCCCCCACTCCCTGCCTTCCTACTATAGACAGAGCAAGCTATTCATCTCTGGGTCAGTTGCCTCGACTATAAAGCAAAGGAAATGATGGTTCCTTCAGTGAAGCTGTGACTAGGAGAACTGAGTAGCATGTGCCCAGGCCCCAGATGGGGATCTAGTAAGTGCCCACAGAATCAAAATCTGGATTTTACTTAAAAAATATTTTTATTGATTTTTAGAGAGAGGAAGAGAGAGAGAAATACACTGACTGGCTGCCTCCTGCATGGGATCAAGCCCACAACCCAGGCACGTGTCCTGACTGGGAATCGAACCAGCAACCTTTCTGTGCACAGGTTGACACCCAACCAACTGAGCCACACCAGCCAGGACACAAAATTTGGATTTTAGGAGGTAAGACTCATCTTTCCCAAAAGACTCTTATCAAAGTGTCTCCTCTATTGTATTAGTTTTCTAGCACTGTCATAAAAACAAACTGGATAGCTTAAAACAAAAGAAATTTATTCTCTCACAGTTCTGGAGGCCAGAAGTCCGAAATCAAGGTATCAGCAGGGTTGGTTCTTTCTGGAGGCTTTAGGGAGCATTGGTTCCGGGCCCCTCTCAGCTTCTGGTATTTGCCAGCAGCCCTTGGTGTCCTTAGCTTGTGGCCACACCTTCACATGGCCATCTTCCCTCTGTGTCCAAATTCTGATTTCTTATAAGGACAGCAGACATTGGATTAGGACTCACCCTAATTCAGTATGACCTCAACTGGATCACATCTGCAAACACCCTATTTTTAAATAAGGCTACATTCACAGGCACCGGGGCTTAGGACTTCAACATATCTTAATGGGGGACACAATTCAACTAAGTTTACTATTCTGGAGAGAGGTGGGCGCACTCACTGCTGTGTGCACAGGCCGTGCCTTCTGCACAGACACATTCCCACTCACCAGCCTAGGAGAACGTGTCCTGACCACTATGACAGGTGATGTCATCCCCATGGCTCCTAGAGGTCACAGTTCCGGCAAAGTGTTTCATTGTCAGGTCCTGACAACTCACTGGGCCCTCAAATTTAGGTGCTTTTAGGGTCCTCCATGACCAGGTCAGCCTCCTGAATTGATCAAAAATGTCTGGGCCCCATATCACTCCACCAACCAACTTAATCTGCTGAGCGGCACTGTGTGTGCTAAGCTCTGCCCAGCCCTGGGAACTGGTACAAAAAGACAGCAGAGGCTTCTGTCCTCAGGGAGGGGCAGAGGCACCAAGTGAAAAGCCCGGAGGGCTGTGGGAGCTGGGCGCAAGGGGATGAGGCCAGTTGGGGGTCAGGGCCACCTTCCCCAAGGAAGGGGTGTTTCAGCAAACCCTGGAGGATTGGAGCATTCAGGAGCTACACCTGCGGGAGGCTTGTAGAAAGCACAGCCTTTTCGAGATACTGTGTCTGGGGGATGGGACCGGTGAGGCAGCACAGAGCCCAGGCTGGGGCTACGGGTGGCTCTCACTCATCCATTAAGCAAATGTTTTATCCGCACCTAATAGACGCCCGGTGTAGGGCTAGGTGCTGAGCTTGTGCCCCTGAGCAAAGCAGACCCACTCCCACACTCGTGACACTGGGAGCTTCTGGAATGCTGGATGGGAGAGTCTCAATCCTGGCTGCACATGCGAATCCCCTGGGGGAGTTTTAAAGCACGTGGATAGAGGCAGACCTCGGAGCCATTGCAGGTTCGGGTCCAGGCCGTGGCAATCAAGCCAGCATCGCAGTCAAGTGCACTGTAATCTTTTTGATGGTGGCGGGTCCTGCCTTCCTTTGTAAAAACACATCTGGGAAGCACAAAAGGAGGTGCGCCCGTGTGTATGGGGGCCCAGCCCAGCGATGTGGATTGGGGCAGTAGGGTGGGGCTGGACACCGGTTTTTATTGTTTTCTGTTTCTTTTCAAAGTCCCCAGGTGATTGCAGGGGTGAGAATACCGATGCATCCTCACTCCTGAAACCATTTGAGGAGTCGGAGACCAGCTGAGGACGGCAGGAGGCGGAGATTGCCAGGTGAGGGGGTCGGGGAGGGCGCGGGAGCAGGAGCAGAGGTGGAAAGGTAAGAGCACTAGCAGAAGAGCAGGACCCCGCGACAGAAGGGCCTTACGCCTGGAGCCGCCAGCTCAGAGCAGCAGGGGCACTGGGCAGGCTGCTGAGGGACAAGCGAGAGACGAAGGCAGCCTGGACTCAGGTAAGACCCGGTTTTATTGCTGTTTTTTGCTGCGTGACACGGGGAGTTGGAATCACTAGGTTTTGGGGGTCACTTGAGCGGGGAAGCCAGACTTCTCAGAGCCCTCTGAGAGGGTCTAGCCCAGCCAGCCGGCCTCCAGAAAATGACTCAACTACAGCCAAGAGTAGAAAAAGCCCTTCCTGCAGCTCCTCACTTTCAGGTCTCAGGGGCAGCCTTCTTTGGGTCCAGAGGCCCGTGGTCAGCAAGGGGGTGCTCAGTGGTCAGCAGGGGGGTGCTCGCTGAGGATCAAGGCAGGTTCCCTTCCAGCCATTCCGTCTGAAGGTCTGCACTCTGATTTTCGAGCCCTGGCCAGTGGGAATTGTCCTGATGCCCCCCCCCCCCTTGCCTCTCTTCCCTGCGTGGCCCACAGGAGGCTGCACTGAGGTAGGTGGTTCAGGTTGGCTTACCTGCTTAGGACTTGCTGTGTGCCAGGCAGGGTTCTAAGTGCCCGCCATGTTTTGCGTCACTTAATCCTCACGACAACCATGAGGTGGGTGGTAGGAATATCCCCATTTTACAGAATAGGAAACTCAGCCACCACAGGTGACCTAACGAGCCGCAAGTCACCCAGGACTCACAGGTGGCTGGTGTGGGGAAGCATCATCCCAGAGCAGGACCTGCCCAAGAAGCGGGCTGCTCAGGCTGCGGGGAGGTGCCTGCAGGCTGGGAAGGCTTCAGGGAGGAGGCACCGCGTGCAGAGGGGCTGTACAGAGGACCTAGCCGGGGCACAGTGGGAGCAGTAGTGCAGATGTGGGAACTCGCACACCCTGTTTGCTCTGCTGAGGGGCAGGAGCAGAGGCCCAGGAAGGACGGTGGTTCCACTGTGCGTCAGCCTCGCCGGCTGGGCTGCACTTTAAGGTGGGCTAAGGGGCCAATAGAGCTCCAAGCCCATGGGGCAAGGGTGTGGGCTCTAGGCCCCAGGAAGTCCAGAGCCAGCCTCAAGCCAGCCCTGCCTAGAACTGACCAGGTGGTCAGGAAGTTTCCCTCTGTCTCCTGCTAGCCCTGGCTGGGCCCTGGCTTTCCCTCCAAGCTCTGACTGTATTCTTGGGTTCTGATTGGGGCTCCATGACATTGGTGTGGCCTCTGGGTTTGAAAAGAATGCTGGTGCTCCTGAAAGGCCCAAACCCAGAGAGCAAAGGTGCTGAGGTCTGAAACCACTTTACAGCCTGTTTGATGGATGGCACTAAACTCTGGGTTCCCTGAGACCCTCCTCCCCTGCGTTCTAGCCCAGCTGGCCCCGTCTGCTCCCACTTGGTGTTCCCAGCTTGTCTAGCCTGGCGGGCTACCCCAGACCAGAAGCTGGGCTCTGCTGGGCCCTGGCAGTGTCTGGGCCAGGCCCCCAGTGCTTTGGCGTGCAACTGTGGGATGGGGGTGTGGTGAATATC